CTGTCCCGCGTGTGGTGGTGCCCGCAGCGTCCAACCCCAGGCCAGCAAGCTCGGAGCGCTCTCTCTCTTGTTGAGCGAAACATGCAGCACGAGCATGAGCAGCATCAAATACCATATTACCTTACCCTTGCCAAATGTTTCCCCCGTGTCTCCCCTGCCAGACTGAGCATCGTGCCAAACACCACAAACAAAAAGCCCCGACGAGGCAGAACCACACCGCTGCTGCACCGGCACCTCCACCAGAGGCATAGGACAACTCGGCGCAGCACGACAGTGTCTCGGGCACGGTTTCTGGGCTCTATGGGGGACCTCAGGGCCAAACTACGCGCCAAGTTCCCACGACGACACTCGGGCGTCCCATCGCTCGTCTCGGACCAGAGCACCAAAAGCAACAAGAGCAACAGCAGCAACAAGAGCGAGAGCCGCCCCGAGTCGGAATGCACGGCCAAGGGCTTTGAACAGCCTCCCGCTTCCCCCGCTGCGGCGGCTGCTGACCACGGCCACGAGGACAGCAGTCACGGGGGAAGCGGGCTACAAACCGGCCTGTCCGTGCCAGCAGCCGGCATCGAGGAAACACAAGTGAGAGACAAGCAGCTCCTGAGACACGGCGAACCAGGAAAACAAGAGACAGAAGAAGACACAAAAACATCCACCGACGTTAGCGATGCTCGTGCTGTTGTTGATACTACTGTCGCTGCTGCTTCTCCAGCGGCTTCTCCGGCGACCTCCCCACTGCGCGCCGCCAGAACCAGAAGAGCCGCGGGCAGTGGATTCACAGGCGGGAACACGGCTAAGAATTCCACTAACGATTCCTCCCCACGGACCATCCAAGCGATGCCTATCCTGCTGACCCCTGCCGCCACCCTGGATTCTCTTGCCGACACCGACCACACTCACGACGTCAGCGACAGCGACCGACGCATTTCGACCGCCAGTCGACTCTCAGCCCTTTCCAGCATCAACGAGAGCACCGCCGACGACGAGAGTAGGCCTACCTCGGCGTACTACACCACCTCCAAACCCACCACCTCCGACCCGATTGACCTGGCGACAGCCACATCACAACAAACAGGCGAGTTGGCGAATTCGGCTTCGCAAGCGCAGCGACGACCCGCTGTCAGGTCAGCGCCCTCGCAGGGACGACAAAGCTCGCTGCCGAGCCGCCAGAACACACTCATACGCACGCTTCTAAGCACAACTCATGCCGATGACCTCGACCTCGCCGCCGCTAACGAACAATTGTTGCCATTCGGTGCAACCATGGTGACGCGCAAGATCTGGGTGAGGCGGCCGGGAGGGTCAGCCACCATGGTGACGATCAACGAGGACGACTTGGTGGACGACGTGCGAGACATGATCTTGAGAAAGTATGCCAACTCACTAGGTCGCCAGTTCGATGCTCCCGATTTGGCTCTGAGGATCATCCCGCGGGAACCCCAACGGCAGGAACGCAATTTGGGACCTGAAGAACACATGGCACGCACTCTGGATGCGTACTTTCCTGGTGGGCAGTCAGTTGACGAGGCCCTCGTCATTGACGTCCCGATCCCCCAACGTCGGACGCCGAGAGCCTCCCCTCGTACAGGACCCCCACACGCACAGCATTTGACATCCGCCTTCTTTGACGACAACCGACCGGCAGAATCCGGCACAGACTACTTCGGCCCCGGAGCTGTTGGGCAGGTTCCAGTTACCCTAGCCGCCCCAGTCACGAACGGGACCATACACGCGCATTCCATGTCGGTGGTCAATACGGGACAGGTGCCTCCCATTCCCTCTCCCGGAGGCACTTGGTCTAGGACGTACAAAGAGAGGCCAGACCGGCCACGACTAGGGAGACAGCACACTTCGTCGCCAACAATTCTTAATGTTATCGGCGCCGGCGGCCACGCTGCCGCCATCGCTGCTGCCGCACCCCACGGTACGCTACCACATGCCAAAATTCCACGTACTAGGACTCATTCCAATGCTTCTTCAGACCAATCGGGTGGCGGAACCCTCCCTCTCACCACCGCGACGGCACCAGTTCCTCCACCGCTGCCCACGCCACCTGTCCCCGCAGCGACACCTCCAGTCCCTCCAGCACCAGCACCAGCACCAGCGCCAGCACCAACATCAGCACCAGCACCAGCACCAGCACCAGCACCAGCACCAGCACCAGCAGCCACACCACCACCCAGGGCAGCGTCTCCCAGAATTTCGGCCGTCGCGCGGCCGAAAAAGAAGAAGGCTACCGACACGCCTTCTCTGCCGGCTGGAATCATGCTCAATGACGGGGTGCCACCCATCAACGTTCTGATTGTCGAAGATAACATTATCAATCTTCGGCTGCTCGAAGCGTTTGTGAAGCGGCTCAAGGTGCGGTGGCAGACCGCTATGGACGGTAGTGAGGCCGTGACCAAGTGGAGAAAAGGTGGCTTTCATCTTGTGCTCATGGATATTCAGCTCCCCATCATGAGCGGCCTGGAGGCCACGAGGGAGATTCGGCGTTTGGAGAGGGTCAACTCGATCGGTGCTTTTTCATCCATGCCCACCGGGACCGTCAGTAGAAAGAACGCCGGCAATAAAAACGATGAGAAAACCAAAGCCGAGGAGGCCACGACAGCCTCGGAGAAGGAGCCCGAAACGAACGGAACGACGAAGTCCAATGAAAAGGCAGAGGGAAATGCAGAGGAGGATATCCTTCCTAATAGGGCCATGTTCAAGAGTCCGGTGATTATCGTGGCTTTGACGGCCAGCTCGTTGCAGAGTGATCGGCACGAAGCTTTGGCGGCTGGTTGCAACGATTTCCTAACAAAGGTGAGTAATCGAGACTTTGGTAACCTCGAAAGATCCTGGAATTGCTGACTGAACAAATCCAGCCCGTCAGTTATGTGTGGCTTCAAAACAAGCTGAAGGAGTGGGGGTGTATGATCAGTCTGATCGACTTTGACGGCTGGAGAAAGTGGAAGAATTCAGCGGCCAACTCGGAGAATGAGGCAGCCAAGAGGTGGGCTAAAAAGAAGGAAAAGTCGGAGGAGAAGGCGGTTACCAATGGTTAGGTTCCAAAGAGGTTATAATGACAATGAGGGTGTCGAAGCCAACCATCGTACACCACAATGGTCAACAGGGCGCTGGCCTAATATGGGATATTTACAGGTGGCGGGAATAATACCAGTATGATACCACAGCGCAGGAGATATATCAAATCAGAACTTGAGAGTTTTATTTTGCGTCATGCGTTTCGGGACCAAGTCGTTCAGGAGGTCAACCTCGGAAAGTTGGTCTGCTCCGACCCTAACCACGGTAAGTGCTAGTCGGAACAAATGGCCCAAGCTCCCTTCCTGAGAGCCTAGGTGGGCCCGCATCACTGGGCTCCGAGAGCCGAGAAAAAATCGCAATTCCAATTTTGAGCTCAAACCACCTCCCGCCTCCCACCACCTCGGGCGCAACCGCAACTTTTTTTCTTCTTTCCCTTTTCTTCCTTTCGCCATGCCGCCTCGGATACGAAACAGCAACTGTCCTCCCCAGCAGTTGCTGCTCAACTACCTCGACGCCCCCCTCCCATCCTCCCTCCTCCCCGTCCACAGGCCAGCGGCGGTCGCTTCGTCGTCAACCCCCTCACCATGTCGTCCCCAACAACAGTCGGCGGCGGCCCCACAACGATGCTTTTCCACATCGCAGCCCCGTGAGATGACCAAGCCCCAACGCGAGTTCAGGCAATTCCTCAAACACGCGGGCAAGCAGTTCGAGAAGCACGTGGGTAATGGGCCCATGTATTTGAGCTCGGTCAAGTCGATGGGCGCCGACGATGTTCCGTTTCCGAGCAACAAGATGTTCAGAAGTGAGCCGGTGCTGTCGAGCAGGGCGAGACAGATTATCTGGGAGGCGGTGATGCTCAAGGGGATGCCGCTCAAGGCTGTATCGGCGCAGTACCAGGTTGACGTGAGGAGAGTGGCGGCCGTGGTCAGGCTGATGGAGATTGAGAAGAGGATGGAGAAAGAGGTATGTTCTTTTTATTCTCCTGTTAACAGACCAGGAAGGAGGAGAGTAATTTTTTTTTTTTTTTACCATGATGATTCTACAAAAAAATATTCGATTAGTCTTGAAGACAAAACCGTGGTTAAAAACTTTTGTTAATCCTGAAAAAAAAAAAAATGAAAAAAAAAACAATGCCCTCCCCCTCATACCTCCCCGCTTCCCCAACCCATGAATCACCCACTAACACTGGTTAGAACGCCCCCATGGCCATCCCCTACGCCCTCGCCGTAGAAAAAATGCTCCCCCGCTCCAACCTCACCGGCGATGAACAACCATTCGAGCCCATCAACGACGTCCACGTCCACTCCTTCACCATGCAGCAGCTCTTCGTCCCCGTCTCCGAGTCCCGCGAGTTCACCCGCAAGGACGCCGCCAAGGCCTTTGGCGACCACATCCTGCCCCCCGACCACAAGATGCGCATCCCCGAGCTCGTCAAGATGGAGAGGGACATCCTCAACGACGTGCCACAGGCCCAGGCCGAGAAGGACTTTTTGGCCAGGACCCGCCAGAGCGAGAGAGAGTTTGCCGAAAAGGAAAAATACGTGGCGGACAAAAGGGACGCCAGGAAGAGCAAGGTCGACACCGAAAGGTTCGAGTTCCGGATTGAAAAAATCAACTCGGAGGCTGTTGGCAAGAAGGGCCGGGCGAGGGGAGCCGTTGGTTGGAGGTATGGTGTCCCGTTCAATGATCGGCAGAGGGGTCTGTACAAGATTCCTACTAGCGTTGGTTAAATCTTTGTTTTGGAAGCTGTAAGAGACAGAGAGAGCAAGCAAGACAGCAAGCCACTTGTACATTATTTTGAGTTTAAGGGGTGGAAAAGGAACAACAGGCATCCTGATATCATGTTATAGAGATGCAGATTGAGGAATCCAACCCCCGTGCACAAAACAAAAAAAAAACACCATCCAGTCTATTGTCTTGTCTTGATCTGTCGTCTACTGTCTACCTAGAACTTTGCGCCTATCCAGGATTGAAACGTGTCAAAGATGAGCAATCTGGGCAGAAACCAACTCATCATTCCCTTCCCACGGCACCGTTTCCTCTCCCTCCGCCAGGTCGACGACCAGGTTCTTCTTGATCTTGTCCAGGGTCTCCTGGCTCAGCCCCATACGTTCGAGCAAGTACTCTTCCACGCTTCCATACTTCTGTCTGATATACCTTAGGGTGGCCAGCATGTACTCTTTCCGCGCTCCAATCTGAACCTCGGCCGCGGCTCTGTTGCCCTCGTGGGGCGCCCCCGGTGCGGTGAGTCTTTCCACTATGGGCTCCTTGAGGCGGGCGAGTCCCAATTCGGTGAGGGAGTACTCGTGGGCGATCACGTTGTCGGAGACGCCGCAGAGAGCAAGGACAAGGGCGACGATCACGCCGGTTCCTGGGAGGGTGTTAGTGGATGCGGGCGGGTAGGCTCAGGTGGATAGGGGTTCGAGGTGGGTAGAAGAGGGGACGCAAGACTGCTGAAAGAGTAAACATGTGGTGGCGGGGTGAGGTACGAAAGCTGAGGGCAACTGCCCCCAACGCAAGGAGGAAAGAAGGGGGGGGGGGGGCATGAGGCTAGAATGAGAGAAGGCGTGACATGACACACCAAGAAAAGCAAAAAGGACAGGGTTGGCGCTTGTCATCAGCCGCGGGGGTTGAACATCAACAGTACGACGGGCAACGGCATGCTGCGGCATCAATGAAACAGCCTCTAGAGGGCCAAGTGGTTGGGCGTGGGCCTTGGTGCCACATGTAAAGATGACTTACTGTCTTTCCCGGCGCTGCAGTGGATCAGTATCGGTGTTGGAGGGTTTGGGTCTGAGGCAAGGTGTTCAAGAATAGTCTGGAAGGGCCGGTAAGCGTTGTCTGGGCTGATGGCCCCAGACAAGATTGAGGCATAAGCCCTCACAAAACCCTGCGCGCCCACTCAGATGTTAGTCAGTCTGATTTTCCAGAAGAGCCGCTCGCGTGGCACACCACATCGAGATCGCTGCTGGTGTGCCACACAGCATGCGCAACGGGGAATAAAGTGACGCTGAGGGCGCTCTCAGGGTAGGACTTCCAACGGCTTCGCATGGCTGCACGTGTAGATGTCCACCCTGTGCCCCCTGGTTGCCCGCCATGGCGGTTAGCTAGCCTTAATTGCGTTACATAACTGTCTAAGGTTGCCCAGCTCGTGCCTGGATCGCCGGTAATGGAAGGAGAGGGGAAAAGAAAAGCCCTCCATTGGCAGTGAAGTGGGCAGCATCGTAACATTGACTGACCTCTGTACCGACACTGTAGTTTCGGAGCCGAAGCGCAAGAGCCTCAGGGCTGTAGTCCTTGTCAAGGAACACAGGCGTGGGTACCCTGCGGGCGCCCTCCCATTCCCTAGGCTGCTCCCTCCCCTTAGCCAGCTCAACCAGAGAACGGAGGTCGAAAATATGTGTGATTCCCAAGCGTTGGAGGATAGCCACCCCTTCTTCGTCGAGGTGCGTTGGGTCAGCGGCCCTGAAGAGGATTCCCCTGCGGACAGCCTTGCCGTTCTGGCTCTCGACTGGGTAACCGCCGGCGTCTCGAAGATTCTCAATCCCAGGGGCGTGGATGAATGGTGGGGTGGGTAAGGTCAGATTGGTGGCCATCTTTGTTTCCTGTCTCTCGTCGATCACTTTAGGTAACCCGGGAGGAGCCGTGGTTTCCAGGTGGGCGAGTGTATTGGCCGGCCGACAATCTGGGCTGCTCGTGGTAGAGGTGACACAAGGCCAGGTGATACTCTGTATATTGGTCGATCTAGTTTGGGCGGTGCAATGTGGAATCATGACAGCCACATATGAGACAGGAGGTTGCCTTACTGTAAGGTAAGATATTGGTTGGTCACCCCCGCGTTAGTCCAAGAAGGTATAAGCCGAGGTGGTTGAAGGAAGGTACTTTCTAACACTAACAGGTAAAGCAGTCATGCGCCGCAGATTCTGTTAGGGGTCCGGCTGGCTGGGTTCTTGGACCCCCACCCATACTGCTGCTCAGCTCGAAATGATACCCGCAGTAGGTCGCGCACCTCACAGAGCCTTGCCATCCAAACTGACGGCGATCGGTCAATTACTTCTCTTCTTTTCTGACTGAGAAACCAGGCCGCGAACCGTTTGTGCCAACCATGCGGGCGGAAAACGTCATGTCTGTTTTGCTGCCCTAGCACCCGTCACAAGCCCCTTTTCTGACAGATTCTGATGCTGGAGCTGGAGGGCAGTCAGTCATATCCCACCTCCTTGAATTGACCAATCACGAATGCCTTGAAGAGCCTCAAAGATCGACCCATTACCCATCACACCTCATGTCGAAAGCCGTAATGTCTGATTCCTGTGCCCGGCATCCGATGCCGGATCTCATACATTGCGCCCTTTTTCATGGTATTGCGGGGGTGCCGCACATGGTCGCGGAAGATGGCCCCAGATTCTTTCCACTTACACTCGAGAATTATTATTCAGACTGAGAAGAAGCCGGACCAGCAAGCTCTTTTCTGCCTTTTGGTTCCGCTTGAACAATGGCCCATCCCCGAGTTCCTTTTCCCGGAGGATTGTGATGGACGCCTTAGAAGAACGCCGAAACGTGTTGGAAGCCTTGCCGCCGGCGTCTAGAGAGCCTTTTCCCATGTTCAGTCAGACTTCAATCCCAAAGAGCGGTCTGTGTAAGGCAACCGGCCCATCCCGTGGAAGCCTGAAAGCCAACCCTCCCCATGCCGGATCTGAAACTTCCACGGTGGCCGCTGTGTATACCCTCCTTCCCGTTCCGGCAAGAAAAGAGCCCTCGCATTCAGCCTCTTCTGTCCATAAGGACCACGACTGGTGAACAGCCCAACTACCGCTTTCCGGTATGGTGCCACGGCGAAGCCTGAGGTGAAAATAAATTGGGCCAAAAGATAGAAGGCGTAGCTTTCTTCATTTTCTGGTGGTGGCCCGGACGTCGACCGGCCAGTCGTCATCCCGCTGCTTCTCGGTCACAAAATGATTGAGCCCCCTTGCCCCATTCTCAACACTTTTGTCTCTTCTTGCCTCACTGTTGGGATCAGACACCACAACGCCCCTTTTCTTTTGGTAGATGGTGCGAGTCTCAATCACGCGGGACCGCACGCTTCGCCACCGCAATGTAAGTCATCCCTCCTGCCATTTTCTCCCATCCCGACAGCCTCACCGGCAACAATTACCGCAAAATTCACCAATCACTCTGCCATTCAACTTCGCTATGCTGTGTGTCCACAAATTTCCCGTCTCCATCCAGCCATCAGTTGATAAGCCTGTGGCCAGGGCAAGCTTCGTGGTTGTCGCCTGGAAAGTACGGAAACCATCATCATCATCATCAATCACAACCATGATTCAATGGTTCGAAGCGGGAAGGTTTCAAGCAGAAATAATAGCAAATTCAAGACTAGAGCCTGCGCTAAGTGACAAGGGTGACAAGCCGACAGAAGTAAAAGAAGACGGGGAAGCGAAAAAGTAGAAAAAAAGAATTGATGAAAATAGACCGGAATCTGTATCGACGAGAAATGTGAAGCAAAAGGAGAAAGGTGGTGATGGGTTCAGAAAGGAAAATAGCCGTAGTAAAAGTTGGAGATAACGAGAAACCGGGGCGATGCTGTGATGTGACAAGAGAGCAGAGAAAAAACCGAAGAAACTCCTCCAAAAAAAAACAAGGTAAGGGAAAAGAAAACAGGAAGAAAAACCAGACATCCAACCATAACAAAAAGCCTAAACCCTGTCTAAATGCATGCTCCTTCTATCCCAAAAAACCATGCCTGTGGTTGGAATGACATAGAAGAGGTCCCAAAAGATGCGTGAACCGTGTGTCCCAAGACCACCAAAAACGGGGTATCAAAGCTTTCCTCTAGTCCGCCACCGTCTGCTGTATTTTTGACTTCCCTGATTGCTGACCATGCTTGCGTGTTGATTGGGGATTTTAATGCAACTTCTGAACCAGAGCAGACGGTTATGTGAACCTCATGTGAAGTCATTAAGTTGACATGCTCCAGAGGTGAACTCCAAAAGTGAAAAAGTTCAACGCTCTCTATGCACCCACTCCTGCCTGGTAGGGCAGAAGCCACAAGCAATATGTTGACAGTGCATGTTCAGACACTGGGGTGTCGTCGATGACGTGTACGTCCCGGCACCGCAGTCGTGACAATTCCAGAAGGTCTCGAGATAATATCCCCCATTGTCCTGGGCACCATAATCGGCAGGCTGACCGGTACCGGATCTCGAGCTCCCGGATTTGGAGGAGCCTGACTTGGAGTGTTTGCGTGAGTCCGACGAGCTGTGCGCCATTGTTGCAAAATTAAAAGATGTCAGGAGGGATTGAGTTGGGATGTGATAAGACGAAGCTGATCTTGCGATGATGATCAAGAGACTGATGATACTCACAAGACATAGACTTCCTGGGTAGAGCCTGTTTTATAGTTCATTTTTTGCAGACAACGACAATCTTGACAGGCAGCTCAGTTCCAAGGTGGCTTGGAAAGAAGGCGACTGGCATTTCCCGTGGAAAACCAGCACAAGAGATGGCAGTTCCACCAGGGAACGAGGCATTCTGCTCCATGACTGTCCTCATTTCCAACAGTGCCACCATGTGATTTGTTCATGGAAGTTGAACGATTGGTAGTTCAACAGACGCGGAAATCGGTGAGGGATAGACCAGTGACCTCGATAGACCTTCCGAGGCGAGCCTCCGTCGCCAATGGGCTCCTCGGTGAGCTATGAACGGTGGCGATGCCGTGGAAGCGAGCCCCGGGTCGGCCCTGAGAAGACAAAAGGTCCCACAAAGTGTAGAGGGACCCAAAAGCGAGGATAGCCCCCCTGCGGTCACCATAGTGTAACTTCAACCAAAATGACGTATGGCCAGCTCCGGTTGGCTTCTTGGGGAGTCATCGTTGAGTCGCCGGCTACATTAGAAGTGATGGGCAAAGGGGGCTCATCTTTGCCCAGGGCCCAGGTCCATGCGTTACCCACCCGATGACAAGAGCAAAAGGCCGGGTCCGAGGTGCTCAAAACACCCAAGTAGTTCCGGAAGGGTAAATGGCCGGCAACTTTTGGGTGTTTGATAGCATTTGGTTCCTGTGGTAGGAGATGCGTAATCTTGGAGTGACATGTAAGCGACGGGATTCTGTCGGGCCAAAACCCGGCAAGGCTGTATACAAGATGCAGTGTCAGCAATGTGCGAGCTGGGAAAGAGATTCTTCCAAGATTAACTTACAGCTTGTGCCCCGTACATGTCCATCGATTGTTAAACGTTTCTCTGTGTCATATATCGAAGCATGTTGAAGCATGTGGTGTGCGAGAATGGTGAGCGGCTCCCGGGGAAACAGATGCAGCCACCTCGGTGAGCAGCCTGCAGCGCCTTTCGGTCATGGGACCTAGCCCTGCTATCCCCACGAGCGACAAATCCCCATGTAGAAATTGGAATTTCAAGAGCCCCTTGTATCGCGCGGTTGAGAAGACTGCCAAGTACAAGATCCATGCTCCGTGGTTGGAATACCAGTACAAACCATCAAGTCGATCGTGACAGGACAGATAAAGAGACGGCCGGTGAAACAAAGCCAGGGAACCTTTGCGAATGACTGGAAACCCTGGCAAATCGAGACCATTGTTGCGTGGCGCTGTTGTACAGAGGGAGACGTGTTGGTCCAGCTTGGTGCTGACAGTTGATGTTTGTTCTTGTCCTTGCTCTCTGGTACTTGAGACCTGTCAACCGGACAGAATTGCCCGATCTATCAAACAATAACAAGGAAGGGGAGGCCATAGTAAGCTCTCTAGAAACATCAGATCGAGCATTCTCGACCTTCCGGAGGCGATAGGCCTTCGCGTGGTCTGCTCTTTGTCCTTAAATAAACGTTCTCCACGGGGCTCTCGGTTCATTGATCTCGAACAGAGCCGCATTTTCGGTCTCACTATAATTAGCTAGCTTCGCCCGGGCAGTCTTGGTCTTGTTATGCTTGGCCATGGTATTCGTTCCCATGATTGGACATTTACTGTGTGTAGTATATGTCCACATGTAGCAAGGCCATGTGTATGTGCTGGACAACACATATCGTCGGCGTAACTAGGGGCTCTAGTGTAAGTGTACACCGACCTCAAAGATGTCCACGCGTAGCTTCCATGTGCGGCTCTGTTTCGTTTTTGGTTGGCTCTAACCGCCCGAGTATGACAGGAACTCAACTACCGGACCTTGGGAAATCCCTGGAGTCCGCCCATCATGTGGGAATGTCAACACAAGGTGTCTTGTGTTTCGGTTGCATTCGGTACAGAAAGCATTCGAAGGTCCCGGGAAGGCAATTCGGCCGCATGAGGAAACTCGGCCAACACGGCTGTAGGGCTTTCACCATGGCTGGGTTTTGTGGAACTGGTGAAATGGATTTTCGAGTTCGACTCAGGACTGCGGGTCGGCCTGTTCAGACTTTGAACACCAGGACATTGCCATTGCCCTTTACTAAGAGCCAAAGAGTTCCCAGGTATAACTCATGGTCCAATGTGATGATTGCCTCATCCAGTAGCGAGAGGACCTGGACAGAAAGCGGCGACTGGTCTCATCGTGAGAACAGGCCGGTATGGTTTGATGGAGGCAAGATGGAAAAATCCACGTTGTAAGGATGTATCAAGAGTATGTTTATGTTTCCGGGCGAAGCCTGTCTGTGTCAAATCAGAATGGCAATCAACCTGACGAAAATTCGTCCCAGACCGACCTCCGTCCTCGTCAGTCAGGGAAACAGACTGCGGGCCAATAGCGAGAAAAGCCGTAAAATTCGGATGAGCTTCTGAAACTGAGCTGGGCTGAAACCAAACTGCCGGTATTTTGCGCCAAACAATCAGAGCTCGAAACGTTGCAAAGTGTCGAGATCGCGATCTCAGACGAGCTGAATGGTGGGGATCACAACCCCGCTGGCATCTGCCAAGTAGTCCGTGCGCACCGCTTAAGCTCACCAGATGAACCCTTGCCCAGATGCAAGTGCCGCCCTTGTCAGTGACAGCATCGCTGCTGAGCTACGTCATTGGCACAAATGTCGGGAGCGGTCACGTTCATCCCATGTTTCAACAGCCCATTTCAGAGGGCTTTTTTGAACACTTCTTCCACCGGCCCAGACGACGACCCCAACTGCATTCTCTCAGCTTGGCTTCAACCTCTTCGCAAACCTTGTTGGATATTTTTCTGGACCACAGGGGATCCACCATTCCCGCCAGTTGTCCCCGCCGATCAAAGCAGCCACTTGCCTGCTCGCGAACTATCGTCGCGCCGGCTCGTCTTGGCAAAAAGATCTCTTCTTGTTGTGTTTTTTTCTGCTGTTGTGACCCCGACCTCCTCTCACGCCGTCGCCTGATCACGCAGACGGAACACTTAGAATAAAACGTGCAGACCGTCCGCTCGTCTTTGCAACTCTATTTCCTAGCCACGAACCAAAACCACACGACATACAAGTGGCTAATACGACAAAATGGCGATTGGGAATTTCACGCTGAGCTATATGCTCTTCACAATCCTCCACTTCTGCCAGTTTGTCCTCGCCATTGCCGTCTGCGCTCTCTATGGCGTCGAACTGGACCGCGCCCGCAAGGCGAACGTGAGCGGTGATTCCAAATGGGTACGCATATCTTCACTTTTTCCGCCCCATCCACTCACAACCTAACATTACATACCAGATCTACGCAGAAGTAGTAGGCGGCCTCTCCGCCCTGACAGCCCTCCTCTACTGCATCCCCTACATCCTCCGCTTCGCCGCCATCTGGGTCTGGAACCTCGTGCTCTTCATCCTCTGGATCGTCCTCTTTGGCATCTTTGGCAAAATGTACATCAATGAGAACCCAGAGGGCAACCACGACATTGTGCGCATGCGGAGCGCCGTCTGGGTCGTCCTTGCCAACGCCATCCTCTGGCTCGTCAGCTTCATCGCCAACCTGACCTACTGGTGGATGCACAAGGAGAGGAGGAGCAGGTTTACCAGCCGGGCCAAGGTTTAGGAGGCATGGTTGGATAGGGAGAAGGGTGTTTGGAGGTGATTTCGGCAAGTTGGAAAGGAGCGCGGAGTCATCAGGGGGGCAATGTTGGCTTTGTGGACCACATGTTGGAAGAGGGATCATGGTGAATTGTCCTGTCTGGGTGTTCACATCGTGGTAAGCGCGCAACCTTTTGACGGAATTGGTACGCGAGGGCGTGATGGATTAGGGGTAGGGATGGATGGTAATGATGGTTTCTGGGTAAAACGATACGATACCCCTCTTGGTTGGAACGCGACGACCCGATACCCTGTTGAATATTTTTAATAATGTAATTTTTCCAGGTTTTCCAGTCTGGGCAACGGTAATAATGACGTTTCTATCTGGTGGTTGGAGGAAGACAGTGAAGTTTGGGTTGTAGTCTACTTACACAGCGGTAACAAACTTACCAGGCCACGCAACGGTGTAGCTTCGCACCATGCAAACAAACGGCCAGCCCCCGAGATGCTCCCGGTCCACGCGTCTACTGGGGTGACAAGATCGGAGAGATTTCGTTCCATGTCATCTTGTGATCTCCCTCAACCTGTCCCTGGGAGGTAGGTAGATGTATGACAAGATACATTTGTCGATCTCCTTCCCACCGCGCTAGCCCTCATCTCGGGGGCCAATAGACGAAACCAACTCGGACAGGATGAAAATTCTGTGGAGTTTTTCATGCCGATGCCATCTCCTCGTACCGACCATGACCATGAAGGTCGCTGACTTCTTTGATGCGCAGGGTTGGCTCGCTGCCGTCCGGATCTCACGATCCTCGCTTATCGCTCGGCACCTGGCCAACCACCAGGCAAGGGGCAGAACGGAGATATAAATAATCCCTCCCCAATCGATGGTGACGTCACCGACACTACAAAAAAAGTTTCATCGCCAGACATTCGAGATGTTTTAACAGAATCTGCTCGGGGAATGTTGCTGTGTTGAGAGGACTGAGAACTCTGTCTTAGAATACCCTGGCAGTTAGTCTCAGTCACTATTATTTCCACAGGGAAAACGTTCACCACAACCGCTGTCAGCCAGGCAACTTTTCTTGCGAGTCGGAGAGCGGGGACACGCTCCGCAACTCCGACTTGGGAACCTTTCCTGGCAAGAAAAAGTACCCGTACATACCGACAAAAAAAAAGAAAAGAAAGACCGCCCAGGCAGCTTGCCGTCAACGGGATACCGTGTAATGCACCAGGAGATAGATCAACAACAGAAGCGGGCAACCGTCCGGCGGCTAAGCCCTCGACGGTAGGGTCGCCCAGCGGCGCGGGGCCTTTCCGAACCAGCGAGCAAGACATATGTGAACGCTCAAATGGAGAGAAAGAAAAAAAAAGGTGGAAGAAATGTAGAGGATCCACGAGAGATCGGCAATGCACCACCCGTTGGGTTGCTAGACAGAGATAACCAACCCGCTCGGATCGAACCATTATGACCAGATCACTTCCAGGATACCTGGCTGGAACCCCCGCGTGTGATGTCTCCCCCGGTGCCGGGCCTCGCATTCGGAAGCGGCGCCCATCAACCGGCGAGGTTTGGTCCTGACCGTGGTGTTGAGACGTTCACCATGGCCAACCACTGCGCCGGGTCCAGGTTTGCGAGACCAGCTACTCCTGTGAAGTTGTCGGTCCCATGTACAACAACTGGATAGGAAGACTCGCATGGAAGCTCGCATTCCATATTCCCAAGGAACGGGTTTCCCTTCTGCTTCCGGACTAGCAATGCCGATTACCCATGGGCCTTGCATCAAAGAGAGGAGCCCACGGAGCCTTACCGCTTGGCAGACACTCGAGCGGGCGCCGGGCATTTACCACTTGGCGATGGATGCGGCTGTCCACACGTGTATCAGACTGTTCCCACCAAGCGCATTCGCGCCTAAAAGCCGCTATCTCAGCGCTTGCTTGATAGACCCTTCTTTGGTCGCTATGAGCGATATTATACGGCATATGCAGCCGGCCACGATAGGGAATGTAGCAGTATTCGTTCCCAGCCAAACGTTGGATGGCTTGGCTGCACGTCTTGTTGAAGTTGCGTACCCCACCCCTCCTTCACAATGTTCGCAGCGATCAAGCTGTCGTCAGCCCTCTTCCCCTAAGGGCAAGGGAGTCACATTGCGTTTCTTCACGGTCTGGAATTGGTGAACTGGCATGGATAGTAAGGTCGGAACGCATCTGTAGTGCAGGCAAATTCTCATGAAAATGGCTTGGATATGCGCTGATAGCCTGATGGCATTTTCAATGAAGAAGCGCCACATCCGCTCTGGGGAGGATCGTCAGTCATCTCCACCTGGACACAAACAACAAGAAAAAAGAAAGAGGCGACAGAAGGAACATTTCGTTCCGTTTGGACTGCGTTAGCGTGCTGTGGGGTTATGGCCATAGGATTTTGCGAAATATCCATCCCTGTATGTACATATACCAGGCCTGTCTTGCGTTCTTGTGTCTCTGAAATGCGCCGCTCAGGACTACAGCATCGTATTTCGGCGTGATGTGAGAGGCGATGTAGGTGATCGGATACATGGACTTCCTGCGTCGATATAGGACGTAGGATTGTGTTCTTGCACCCTGTCTTTTGCTCCACGTTGAGGCGATGGTGGGCGTGACGTTATAACTGCGATATAGCCCATCACCACAACCCAGGTGTCCCACACACACACGAGGCGGCCCGGACGGACCCTGGCTCCCTGAACGTGTGGCGGGTCATCAGGGTTCAGTGACAGGGATCTCATAAAAGAAAGTAACAGTACAACCGTCAAAAACAGGTTGTCAGGGTATCAGGGACCGGCGCGAAAAAAGAAGGTTGAGTGAGGGGGAGGAGGGTGGAGGGGGAGAGGGAGTGGACTCTCAGTGAGGATGCAGGAACCTTGCCCTTGTTAATAGGTATGGAGCATATCCGACTTCTCCAACCACCGGCAGCTTTGGGCTTCTTGGAAAGAGATATGAATGCAGCCGTGTTCCCAGGCGGCTTCAACTTTCTTGAGTTGCGGTTTCGCGTCGTCCCACATTTTCCCTTTCCCTGCCATGCAACTTCAACCGTCCCTCGTCCGTCTAAGCGAACCGCCAGTATCAGCGGGATACACTCAGGTCGAAGCTTCACTTACCCCCACCATAAATTCCATGCGGCTCCCTGGCACTTCTTTCTCTTCGCTGCGCTTCTCAGTTTGGTGTTGTCGACCCGAGGCGACGGGTGTTTGTTTCGAGGGTTGTCAGCAGGCCAGCTTGACACACACATGACCTTGAACTCAGACGGTTAGGTCGACATCACAACAAGACAGTTCCCAGACTGTTCACTTGCTTGTAATCATCCTCGAACCGTTGTCGTCGAATCCACCTCCTCTTCGGCAACCCCCCTCCTTTACCGACCGCAAGCCCGAACGTCACCGACTGCGACCGACCCGATATTGACCACCCACTCTGACCATTGTTTTCTCGAACTTCTGACGTACATTTATGCTCGGGTTGTGTATCCACGAAGAACCTGCCAGCAGCGCACATTGATTAGCTCACTGGACACCGGTATGTGGGTTTGGTTTGACTTACACAGGCGAGTGGCGGGACAGCTGTATGACCGAACCGTGGGTGACGGGCGTCATCCAACCTGTCATGCGGACTGCAAGGAGAAAGTTTGGACCCTGTGGAACATTTCGAGATGTTGAGCGTGTGGACGGGACCGGTCGAACCTTCCTGTCAGTGGAGGTTCTGAGGCAGGAGACGCTCCGCAACCCCGGACGTTTCACCCATAGGACAGGGCTCTCTCCACACCTACACGTCTTGCATCAGAGATATCTTCAATTTCTTATCTGATCTTTGACGTCGGACGAACGTGTGTGGCAGCAGAAAGTCAGAATCTCTCTTGCTAACAAACTGTCTCCGGGTGTTATCATCACACAGCCCCTCAAATAGTTCAAACTTGACCCTCTATCTCGAACGATCGACGACACCAATCTCCAGCAAAGTTCACTCTCAAACATCCATCGCCAATGAAACGATCTGTGACAGACCGGTCGTGGAGGCTGCCTCTACAGCTGAGGCGGCAGGCCATGCATCGACGAACCTACTCAGACTCGTCAGAAGCATCCCATTGTTCTCGCGCATCATCGAGCTCCGAAGATCAGTTTGCCTTCTCGCCAGCTACCGAGAACCCGCCAACTCGAAGTGTTACATCCAACTTCACGGCTTCCCTTGACCAGACTGCCGGTACGTATACGTTTGCTCGCGTTGTCCTCCATTGACTACCTCGACATTTTTCACCCGACAAGTGAACGGCCAGCAGCTATTCAACCCCGACACAGCCCATACCCTCTCCTTGGGTCGAATTGCCAATTTCCCCTCGATCCATGATGCTGGAATGCCGAGCAAATCCGGGGTGCAGAGTCAACATTCTTTGACTGGGCGGCTTTGGATGGCGTGGCTTGCATTCACAGCGGCGTCAAACGCTACTCTCCAGTGAGACATGCGTCGGTTGCATCGGTGCTGAAGTGGTTGCGTCAACGCTTAACCCCTCCTGGTTCTTTGGCCGTCTTGTTGGGGGGCAATAGACTACTTGCAGCGGACCGGGCGTCCCGCTACAGGCTTAAAGCCGGAGCGGCCAGCTTCGGCGGCTCCCGAGCCGTCTCCATTGAAACCCCCGTTGATGTTGCAATGGTTGTCCCATGCCCCCACTGCGTCATACATAGCATTCCAGTCAAGCTTTGTCACTCACCAGCCACGAGATCACTTGCAACATGCTGACTACTTGCCTGTATAGATATCAACTCCGAGGCCCGTTTCTCTGCCGATGTGGCAGGTCCCTCAGTCGACACACCCCAAGGAAGTTCGAGCAGCAAAAGCAGGCCAATTGCCATCGAGATTCCATCATTTCGCAGACACGATACTGTTACGGGTGTGGACGCTTCGCTTCCCCCGGCCCCCTTGTCAGGACGAGGTGATATCCCTGGGTAAGCAGGTCCCCTGAACTTCAAGTCAATCTGGCCATCACCGGGCCAATCGTGTGCCGACTTGAACGCTCATTCAATACAGAGGATACTTCCCTCTCCACGAAGATCCCCAATCCCGGGTCACTATTCCCCATCCATTCCACAACGACGCCGACATGGCCAGACAATACTCCTGGCAAAAGGCTGCCGAGTCCACGACCAATCGGGCGGCGAGCCCCTTGTCCATGAGCATGAGCACCTCGATCAGAAACGAAACTGATCACTTCCCCTTTTCTGAGCGCTCGAAAACAACTGCGCTCACTGCTCATACCCCCGCAACGTCGTATATCCCAATGGGCCACCACGATGGCATTGCGTTACCTCTTGGAAAATACTACCCCACGAACTGGGAGAGACGCCACGGCAAGAGTTCCCAGCAGCAGCGGCCCTCGACACCGGCAAAGCCCGCTTCTTCGGCTGGCCACGAGTCTCAGGGGCAAAAGCTGCGTCGGGAACAAGGGCATGCCCGATCCGGCTCTGAAGTCAAACGCCGTATCCAACAATACCAGCGTGACATGGTTGCGCAGGCCACGATGGCTGCGAGGTCAGTGGTAGCTAACAGTGCTGCTCTTCCAGCAGCCATCGGAGGGCCTGATGGGTTCTTCGGTGCCAATCAGTTGAAGACGAAGCCGAAATCCCCTCGTCTGGCGCCGCTCGGCAGTCCCGGACCCGTCACACCAATGTCCCTGGAGGGCGAGGACAGCGATTACCTGACACTCGGTCGACCCATGACAGGTGCCGATGCCGAGCGTCAAGCCGCCGAGCTAGAAAAGGCCATGCGTGCCGACGAGGCGAGACGGAACAACTCGCATTTTTCACTAGGCGCTCTATCTGTTTAAACATCCTTTTTCCATCGCATAGCTTTTGACTTATTTCATTTTGTTGGTTTTGGACACTGCTATGCATCATCATCATCATCACTTTGCACATCGCCGGTAACACAAAAAAAAAAAAAAGGGCACAAACGGAAAAAAAGGATTTTCTGGTTGTTTTTTTTTTTTTTTTTTTTTTTTGTTTCACATCATTTGATACCCCCCTTCACAAAGAAACCATAGAGCGAGCGCGCGGCCGCGGCAACGGCGGGACTGAAACGGAAACAGGCAGGATAGGGGCGTATACTCATTTGAACGTTACATAGATTTCTTTTTGGTAGGGGGTTATGAGAATATTTGCTCTACTGGCTAGTACTTGGTGTTTGTTTTGGTGCCAACGATATCATGATGTACGTGCAGTGATTTGTTGTGGGATCAAACCCATTGCTAAGTCTCCAACTCCTTCACAAACAAAGAAAACCCCCTGCTGCGGAACTTGCTACAGGTAGACCTCTTCCTATGAAGAGCAGCATCCATTTTCTTTTTAAAAAAAATGTGGTACTGTTCCTGCTTGTTTACCCGGGGGGGGGGGGGGAATTGTGATGTGTATGTGGTGCTGTCTGCCAGACTACAAGCCGGATTACTGCGCACGGATTGGCCTTGGAGATGGGATAACGGATTGATGTACTCGGTAATGGGATGGGATGGGCATGGGAATGGGAATGGGAATGGGGTATGGTGATGATGGCATGATGGTTGCAGATGGGGGCTGCAGGAAAGGGGTAACATGCTGATGTGGTAAAGGGGCAGGCAATATGTGTGAATGTGTTATAACATCAGTTTATGTACTTGGTCACAAAGGATATAAAATGGGGGATGAGGTAGGTATGTGATGGTGATTGGAGATGGGGGGTGGAAAAGGGGGGAGAGCGGTGGGAAATGTGCTAATGGAGGAAGGAAATCAATGGCGATGGGCCACTAATCTCCCGCCAGATTGCACGCCCCGCCAGGTGTCTCCCCAAGGCGGTCAGCCGGTCGGGAGAGGTGAATCTGTGCACAATCGTCACGCTGCACAAGTCCAACAGTTTGGGGGAGATGGTCGGTTCCTGCGTCGGGATGATGACTCTCGCTCCTAGGTGGCGTTGCAGCCGGATGGTTGCCAGGAGGGATTCTGTCAAGGCCTGGCATTCCGCGCTGTTGGTCATGTACTTGTGTGCTTCGTCCAGGGCAATCACTCGGCCAACATCGTCGGCCTTTTGCTCGAGGAACAGTGACAGGCAGATGTTGAACAGGGAGCAAGCCATCTCCGCCGTGACGCACGGACAGGACAAGTCGACGATGGTGAGCTGGCCGCTCCGGGGCTCCCGGTTGGTGCCCTTGGCTTTGCTCTCCTTTGGCTTTTGGCTCTGCTGTTGCGGCTTTGTGTCCTTCATGGTGTACCCGTCGGCGTGGGCACTGACCATGAAAGACTCGAGCGGGTCGAGCCGCTGCTTCAGGGGCACAGGACGCGAACCTTGATGGCCTTGTTGGAGGAGAGCCAGGCGGCCTCGCACGGCGAGCCTCCGGTGTCAGAGGTGAAGGTGTCGTAGTGAAAGACGATGCCCGTCAGAGGCCGAGGTCGCCACCCAAGAGACCAAACTGGCTGAATGGCTTTTGTTGCGACGAGTGTCGACCGGCAAAACCTTGAGCATGCTTGCGGACTCTTTCCGTAAAGACCGGAGTGGTCTTGATCTCGTTCAGCTCATCGCGCTCAGGCTGGTGATCGAGAAGATCGAGATGGGTTTTCAAGATGTCTTCCTCGTCGGGGGTGTCCTGAGTGAGGTCGGTCGAATCATCGGAACAGCTGTGATATTTTGTCGTCCGGATCGTCAAGACTGGAGCTGGACGAGGGCAAAAGTAGAGCCGCCTCTTTGTTTACCGCCTTGTTCGTATTCATGCTCTTCTTTTTGTTGGGCTTGTTGACCGCAGAGCTGTCCTGCACCTGAAGATTCGTCATGTTGGTGGAGAGATTTTCGACCGATCCGCCTGTCAAGCCGAGTTGGATGAGAGGCGTGTAGGCCTCAACTTTTGTTCATATTTCCAATGGATTGCCCAGCTTCGACTTTGCTGCCCGATTCGGTAAACACCGGCTTGTCTTGAAACAATTCGAGAAAGTCTTTGACAGGGGGTACTTCTGACTTTGCCACCCACGAACAGTTGAACTTGGGAACTCGGGTTAGGGGTTGGCTTTGGTGTCCCCCAATGTGAGGACGGTTGGGTTTGAGGGTGCGGTGACGTCGGGCAACCTTTGACGCTCTGCTCGCGGGTTCAAAATGAGGGGAAGCAAAGCCCAAGCCAGCTGGGTTGGAGATAAAACGAGCAAACGAACGAATGAAGCGAGAGGCAAAAGATGGAGTTCTGGGAAGGGGGGGGGGGGTTCCGAAGACGCGGGGAGGAAATGATTTATATCTCCCTTTGACACCAAAGCAGAAAATCTCGAGTCAAGCGGTCTGGGTTTATTAAGGGCAAAAGTACAGAGCACGTGAGGAAGTCGTGGTTGGCCGGGAGGTTTCCCATCACTCAACTCACTCTCAATTGCCCAACTGGACGACGACGATCTTTTACAAAAAAAATTAAAAAAAAAAAAAAAAAGCAAAACATTTTCCCCATTCGAGGCTTCACCACTTCCTCGACATCCAGAGCCAGATCATCAATTTTACTTTTGGATCGCCATACACACCGGGAAAGAGGCTCCATCAAACGCCGGCGTCGGTGTCGAGAAAAGGCAAGCAAACGTTACAAAGTCAGGTGGTATATTTAACTGGCTGGACAAACAACCACCGCGTTTCCTGGCTGTCATGGAAACGCACAGACGCCAACAGCAAACAGCTCAAAACATGTTCATCTGATGAGCAGCTGGACAGCATATTTCTAATGCTTCATCATTCCAAACTTTTCTCATTGCATCAGGGGTATCAAGCTCAACCCTTTCCTCATGTCGACATGGTAATCCACCCATCCATTAAAACCAATATATAACCCCACCGTATTCCAAAACACTCTCGTGATGATTCAACAGAAAATTAAAAATCCAACGCCCTCCCTCCCACAGCAACGGGGTTTACGCAACCTTCTCAGGCTTGCCCTCGCCAACAACATCATTCACCCCCTTATCACTCCCAGCCTCCTTTCCCTCAATCTTCTCCGTCACCCCCTCGGTGGAAGCAGGGCTGCCGGGAATCTCATGCTCCTTTCTCCAAAAATCCTTCTTGCCGCTCGCCAACCTCTTCATCCAGGGAGGGATGACACCACCAGTCTGGCTCCAGCTCCAGGGCTCCTTCTCCTCAAAGTTGGGGGGCACAATCCTGCCGCCGGAAGCCTTGGCGATGATCCAAACAAGCGAGTTGATCAGGATATACAGGCAGATGCCCGCGATCAAACCGTCAGCGATGGAGTAGGTGAAGGGCATGATGGCGATGCAGATGAAGGCTGGCACGGCGTCACCAATGTACTTCCAGTTGATGTCCACAACGGCTTGCACCATCATGGACCCGACAAGGACGAGCACGCAGCCGGTGGCCCAGGGCGGGATGGACGCAAAGATGGGGGCGAAAAAGATGGAGATGAAAAAGCAGAGACCTGTCCACATGGCCGTGAGACCGGTCTTGCCGCCTTCTCCGATACCGGCGCCGGACTCGACAAAGGCGGTGACGGGAGGGGTGCCCAAGATGGCGCCGATGACAATGGTGATCGAGTCGACCATGTAAGCGATGGTGGAGCCCTCAAAGTCCTGGGTGACGGGGTCGACGAGGCTGGCGTAACGAGCCATCGAATACAACGTACCCGTGGTGTCCAGGATGTCGACGTACAAGAACGTGATGAGGGCGAGGCCAAAAGCACCGCCGTCCGCACCCGAGATGTTGAAGTCAACCACGTTCAGCACGTTCTGGATAGGGTGAAAGTCAACAACCTTCTTGAAGAAGTTGAAGTTGTTGGTGCCGAGTTCGGTATAGGGGAAGTAGGTGACGGGGGTGCCACGGGGCCAAGAGATGATGGACACGAGAATGATACCGGCGATGATGGCGCCCTTGACGCGGTAGAGCATGAGCATAGCTGTGAAGACACCGCCGCAGAAGATGCCGATCCACATCATGGGGCTGCGCATCTTGACGCCGTCGGGGCATTTGCCGTCCGCAATGTCAGACTCGAGACAGCCGGCAAGCTGAATGGGCACGGCCTGTCCGGGCAGGACGAGACCGATACCTTGAGCGTAAGTCAAACCGATGATTGTCAAGAACAGACCGATACCGACAGAGGTGGCGAGCTTGATGCAGCGAGGGATGGCGCGAGCGAGCCATTGGCGCATGCCGAGGAGAGCGAGAGCGAAGAAGATGAATCCTTCAATGAAGATAGCCGTGAGAGCGGTTTGGAAGGGAACACTGTTTTCGCCGTTGAAACCGACGACGGTGTAGGCAAAGTAGGCGTTCAAACCCATACCAGGAGCAATACCGACTGGCCTGTTGGTTGCCGCAAAGAACGAAGTTCAGTCAGTCTTCCATATATCACCCCCCTGTATCTTTGGCTGGGTAATAAAAAAAAACAAAAAAAAAAACATACAGGTTGGCGAGCAGACCCATGAAAAAGGTTCCCATGGCAGAAGTAGCAGCAGTGGCAGTGATCAAGTCCTTCTTGATCTCGCTCTTGCAGAGCTGGTAATCAAGGTTGAACAGAGGTGAGGAGGTGTTGGTGATCTTGCAGTAGGGATCTGCACTGTTGGGTCCGTTGGAGCAGACGCAAGTACCGCCGCTGTCGGCAACGATGTTGGCGTTGACGGCGATGATGTAGGCCATGGCGAAGAAAGTCGCAAGGCCGGCACGGAACTCGGTGAGGAACTGGGACCCCTTTCTTTCCTTGGGCTGTTTATTGACATTGCTTGTAAGAACTCTGGGTCTTTCTTGCTCTCTTGCTCCCTCTCATCGGAGATGGCTCACATGTCCAGATCCTTCCAACTGAAACCAGTAGCCAACCGAGCTGGCGGCAACCCGTTGGTTGATGTTCTCTTTCCAACCCATGATGTCCGATTCTCTGCAGGTGAGTCGGGGTGTGGTGTTGGATAAGGGTATTCGGCTTGGGGCGAGCAGCTAACGGTCTCGACGATGGTGGTGGGGAGTGACGGGAGCTTCAAAAAACCTATCCTGTGTGGTGGAGTCTTTTTTGGGCTTGATGAGTAAGAGGCCGAAAGGGAGAAACAAGCTTTTTTCCTAAGGGTCAGCCTGATGGGGGAGGCCGTGGCTGGCGACGTCAAGGTCGAAGATCACCGTCAGGGCCGAAGCTCTCGTGCTGCTTCTGCTGCAAAAGAAGAGCTCGAGGAGGCACGAGGTGGCATCGAGGGATCGGGAGCGGCGATTCATCTTTTTATCATTTTTCTGGGAAAACGGAGACCCTGAGTGCAGGCTGTACACGCTAAGTATTTCCCAGAAGAAAAAAATCCCTTATCTCTGGGGAAACTAGGGCAGCTGGAGGGGTTGTCCATCCATCCATCTCTCTCGCTACGCATCACGGCTCAGGTCCCGCCACCCTCACCGGGGCGAGCTTGCCTGGGAAACATGGAACATGATGTCTCGATAGGCTTGGCGTAGTGGGGATGAGATGCAGGACTGGTGACGGCGGCGCCCAATGCCATGCGAACATGCAGCTTCCGCCCGCAGGTGTGGGTGGTACCGTATCTTTCCAGTAGCTGTTCCCCCCACTCCCATTGCCCAGCACTTTTGGATTCGGAGTGTATCAGCCCCCAAGAGGCTGGTTTCTGTGTCTCCTGTGGTGTTGCGCGAGAAAAGAAGAGAGAGAAAAAAGAAGAGAAAAAAGGAGGCTTCCGAAGCGGTGCGAAGGTTGTGTGACGGCGGCGATATCCACCGTGTAAAAGCCGGCCGTCTCCACCCGCTATGGGTTTTTTTTCGAGATCTTTTCCCTCTCTGCCACCCACCACACATCTCTTGAGACTTTGCGATGACGGCGGCGCTACGAACACGGTCATCCGATCCGGGGAGCACTCCAGGAATACAATTAAGTTTTCCTATCAAGTAACAGGCTGTCCGTCATTGGGTGGCTATGACCCTAACGAAGACGGATGAACGGCCTGATCCTGTCTGGCCTCATTCCTGATGTGCGGTAGTGCCAGAAGTTGAAAGCGGGGAACGCCTATCTTTGGGGAGGCGGCGGCCAAGATAAACGGTGCCTCGGCCGGGCGAGCGTCCTAAAACGGGACCTAGCGGGTAGGCCAAGAGCTCCAAAGCTTCTCTTGCATGTCTTCCTTTTGGGCCATCATCAGATGCAGAAAGTGGTTTGACATTGAATGAGGAATGCGACAAGACAGCCCTTATATCGTGATGACATTGCGGGGAGAGAGACGGAGCTGGAGACTGTCACTCTGAAGCCAACCATTGCCCCCAACGACCCAAACGATTTCCACACCCGGGGTCCCGAGTTTCTCGCTCCTCCTCCGGAGCTGGCCCCCCCACCATCTATCTCACCCATCTCACCACAACCTTATCACCACAACAACCTTATCACCGGCTGCTGCCGTATTTGACCACCCAAACAGGGCGGTACTGCGAAACAGCCAAACTCCAAACCCATTTCATCTCATGCCCATAACATGTTCTCGACCGGTCGAATACAAAACCACCGTTTTTTCTTCCCAACACGTGCTGCTGGCCCCGACTAACCGGGCAATCCATCCCGGCCGTCAACCCGCAAACCGGGGACCACCCGGCCTTCTTTTTCCCGGAATTCCCGCTTTCCACCGGGGCGGAGCACAAACCCTCAATGCCGAGACCTGCGTTCAAACACAATGCCGAGATCTTCGCTCTCCTTCGAGTCGTACAACGGGGTAAAACCCCCCCCCCCCCCTCCCCCAAGA